TAGATTACCTACTTAATAAAATATTAACTTACAAAGGAATAACATACAAATATTTCTTAATATCTTGTAGAATTTATAATTTCTTAATATTAATTTAATATCTTCATTTCATGTAGATTACCTACTTACCTTTTATGTATTTTTTTTCTCCGGAAGGCTAATACTTACCGTTCCCCTTCCAGGAGGTGCAATGCTATGCTGCAAGTTATTGCCATATTATACCGCAATGTTACCCTGTTACCCTGACGTCCTGCTACCCAGGCAACGTCCCATATAACCTGTAGCTACCCCAGAAGGACTCTCCAGTCCTAAGCAGCTGACGAAGCCCCTGCTTACCCCAACTCATCTATTTACCCCGACGAGTTTGGACTGCACCCTGTGCGCAGACTACCCTTCGTGCTGTCTACCCTGGACCTACAGATAACCATTTCTTTTTTATTTAAATTAACTTTAACTTTTAACATACCCAAGCGTTATCGACCAAATGCGCCACGACCTGTTTTTTTCCTACCTATTAAATTTAATTGTAACGACCGTTTTATTTGCGTGACCGTGCGGCTCCAGCCAGCGGCTAATTCCATTCCGTTTCTTAATCTTGTTAAACTTAACTTTAATTAGCCTTAACTTAACGTAACTTAACTTAACCTTTACTTTAACGGATATTACCAATAAAGGGAGTTATATATCGGAGTCTATTTTTTATTTACCCCACTTACCCGGTTTTTCACGTTACAATAGTAAGAAAATTTTATCTCAAAAATAAATCTTTTAAATTTGATTCTTTGCTGAATTGTCTTGAAGAGCTTTCAGGTCTTAGCTCAAATTTGTTTTGGCGCAATAAAAAGAAGCCGTTGCTATTATTGACACACGAAATATACCAAACAGTACCAGTACAACGTAGTGGGCGATTGGAAATGTTTTCGTTGAGTACATGGGTCACTAATATTGATTTGACAGATAACCTTCGAGATAGTATAGCTGAAGTTGACAAAGCAAAACGACTATACAATAATCAACACCTAAAAGCAATCTGTCATAACATGTTCCAAGATAAATATATGAATTTCTATATCCTATATACTGATGGATCAAAAGTAGGTAATTCCAGCGGTGTAGCATTTCTTGACTGGCAAACTGGCGATTTCATTAAACTACGTGTCGAATGTAATATTTCTATCATGTATACTGAAATGATCGCTATTCTGGAAGCTCTCTCTTATATCCAAAGTATAGATGGTAATCAATTTATAATTGCAACCGACTCCAAAAGGACTATTCAACATATAGCAATGTGTACTCGTAATATAAGGGCCTTTATGGTTAAAGAATTTTATTTCTCAAAAAGAATAATACAATTCACTTACTGAGAAAAATGAAGTTTTAACTTAATGCATGTAACACTTGAGCGTACACATATCATAATAAAATCAACGTGGGTAGATCGATATTGTATCGCAACTCGCACAGTTGCACTAGGCAACCACGGATGTACAAAGAACGGTCTGTTTGGGATCGATTCTAGATGCGGCATGGCATGTTTGATGTACTATAATAGATTTAATTTGTAAATTAAAGAAACAAAATAAACATGTTATTATTCAGTGGGTTCCTTCGCATGTCGGTGTGGCAGGGAACGAGGAAGTAGATCGCCTTGCAAAAGAAGCAATAAGCGACGGGATTGAATACGAATGCTTACCATTACATACAGATATCTTGCAACATACCAAAAAATACTGCTTTAAAGTATGGGCAGAATATTTTGACGAAAGATCATTAATGAAAAGAATATGGTATAAAACTATACAGCCATCACTTCCTCGGTCCCTGTGGTTCAAGCAATGTGCTGAATTAAACAGAACTGGCATAATAACCGCTTTAAGACTGAGGTCCGGACACATACCACTAAATTGTTTTGCATTTTTAATGAAAAAAGTAGATTCTCCAAATTGAAGTATTTGTGATGCAATTAGAGGATGTTTATCACATTATTATGGAATGTACCCGGACGGCGAGTATGAGAAGAAAGCTAAATATTAATAATTACGATATAGGTGCTGGTAATTGTATTTTGATGCACCCATGTACTAAAGAAGCGATACTGTTATACAAATTTATTCAAGCTGCCTTAAAAAATAGATAAGTTAATTTTGTATATTATGTAGTTATGAACATTATTAGACATAAATTATAGGGGTGACATATCTACGGACAAAACCCCTAATTATTATTGTACAATAAAAATGAAAAAAAAAGAGATTGCTCAGCTTCCATACATGTTTGGCCTAAAGACCAATAATCATGAAAAATTGTTTCCTAGATTCGAAATTATATATAAATTACTGTAGAAACGAATATTATTGACGGACACCGCTGAGAACTTCTATAAACCATAAACACTAAACATATTAAAATAATAAAAAACAAATAAGTTATATAGTAAACTAGGGAAATCAAGCCAAGTACCGAAGTTATAGATTATATTCAGGTATATAGAGCATGTAGATTAACAGATAGTTGCCTGTTTTTAACGTTAATGCATAAGAGTAACTTTTAAAATCAGGTGTCGTTTCCGGTTATAATAAGGTACTCTGTGACAGAAACTATGTGATGATTGTGAATGAGCCACAGATTAGAGAGAATTTTTAAACTTTCGTTAACCAAAGAAAGCTAAGAGATTTGGGTTCTATAGCCATATATTCAGTAGCTTCATTATTTTTGTTATGTTTTTAAGATAACCATATTTTAGATTTTTAGTGTATCACACCTTATAATTTTATTTATTTATTAATTTATAGTCAGGGAACGTAGGCCCATAGATAGATACCTTTAAAATCTAACATATATACAGATTATAATGTGGTTATGGAGGTGTTTGGCGAAAAATGTGTGGCAATAGACTTTATGATGTCGCCTACCATCTATAATAATTGTCTGAGCACATTTGCATCTAGTGAAAATGATAATATAGTTGGATATTAATACCACAGTGTAATAAAAAAATGATTTATTTTATCGATCTTTACAAAATAGATTTGTTTTTATGTTATATAAACAACTTCGATCAGTCTTTGGCTGAATGTTACTACACCCATAGCCATTGTAAGGTAAAAAAAATAAAAAAAAACTATATAACTAGTTAGTTATTTCAAAAAAAGAAAGAAAAAGGCTGGAGGTGATGGCCGGGTGATGGTAGCCGATTTAGCTTCTCAGCTTCCATTTAAAGTGAGAGTTGTAACGGGCGCCGGGAAGCTGGTAACATCTCCAGGTGTCCAGAATAACTTACGGGAACATCAGCTTTTAATCTCAAAGGCAGTTTTGACTAGGGTTGAATGATAAAGGTGTTTTCCTCTTCAATTATTTATTGTGTATGTGTACATACCAGATTGGATTCCAGACGTCGAAGTACATTAAGTATTGGATTTACTTAGCCTTTACGGTTGGTCCATGGTTAAAGATATCAAAATGATATTTATAAAGATATCATTAAAATTAAAGATAAAGTTAAAGATAATAAAGAGTAAAGAGCTGAAACAAAAGAGACCTTTGTGAGACCAGACAACATGGCTAGATATATATGACAATCTTAATCTTAATTCTTACCTGCAATCGCAGCTCTTTTAAAGTTTTACTAAAGGGCCATTGGCACCTATATTAATTTACAAAAATGCGATGAGCACATTTTTTTTGGAAAAACCAAGTTAAATTTAATATTATTATATTTCACATTTTTAAAAAGTGACTGCTCATCTCTGCAAGGAATCGAAAAGTAATGTTGACAGGTCGCATTTCGAAAAACGCCGCGAGACTCAGTGTTGGCGCATTAAAATTTAAATTTGGGCATGGACAAACCATAAATTACAAAAGTTTACTTAAATTTAGAACGACAATTATTATGTATTTATTTTAATGTTATATAAAAGTAAGACAATTTTTAAAGATGTGTTTTGTTTATTAAAAATCCTTAAGTGACGGATGTCGAACCATATATTAATTATTTATGTATGTGACGGCGTAGATACGACGTTACACCATCAAAAATGATTTGTATGTTTTCCAAACCGGTAAAATTAAAAGTCCTTTTTAAAGTAAATATATTATACAAAGGTGTCTGTTGAAATTTAATGACTGTAAATTAAATTATAAATTACGCCAAGAATTACTGTGTATGTCAATATTTTTTGTGCATTTGGGCCAATTTGAGCAATCTCCTTTTTGAAAACAATAATAGTGATAACACTATTTGATGTACATTGCATTTCATCAACTGATATTGGAATTTAGTGAATAAAACAGGCACAACAAAGGAATAACTACAGTACACCATGCCAATATTATTATTTTTTATACAAGGCATTATTTTTATTTTGAGCATGTTTGGGTTATTTTCGTTAATGTTTGATTAAAGTTGAATAATTATTTTTATGATTTGTTTTATTCTCACATAAGCTATTAACTTAACAATTGGTAGGCCACCTAATGTTTCCTTACAACAAGTAAAGAGCTGCCAACCTATATAAATATGTAGAATCATCAAGGTATAATATCTAATACTGAATATTATTATGTTTGGTACTATGGAAAACATACTTATTTTTATTGAGTCTATACATTATTTTATTTTTTTATATATAAGATGTATTGATTTTCATAATGGGATAGAGTGGAAATAAGCCAAAAAAGTTTATGTTAGTAAGAAACTTCACAAAATTTGTAATAATTTTTAAATAAACTGATAGAGATAATTTATCAAGTTTACTTTCAATTTCAAATGAAAATGTGAATGCATATTAATTTTTATATCATAAGTATACTATCCTACAATCTGACTAATATTAATGCTGAAGAGAATTTACATTATTCATATCAAGTCTAGCTTGGGAAAATTGGAAAAACTGGCAGCATTAGATGACATCAAAAAGGCGACAGAGCCCAACTGCCACTAATGCAATCAATAAATCACAATTGAAAACAGCAGAAAAAAAATATATAAAACAACTTACCCAGTTATCTCCATTATCATAGCCTGTACATAGATGCCTTCAGCAGACTGCTTCTCCCGGATATACAGGATCTGTGGTACCTTTAGAAATAAGCATGACAGTATTGTCATGGTACTCAATATGTTGGCAATGCCAATGATGAGGGTGTCCGCCAACATATTGACTAGAATAAACCAGGATAACTCTGAAATTTATAAAATACACTGAATGAAAATGGTGTAACATTTAATATATACTTAACTTACTAGTGCTTGCTAGCTATTTTGAGTGTGGCCCCCAACCCCCACGACAACGGCTTACTAGAGCCGAAGTCCGAGTCTCAGAGACTCCCTCTAGTTGAGCCGACCCCCTCAGGTTCAAGTGGTCTAGAGGCTCCAGATGGAGAGTAGACTCCCCCCGTGGGGAGACGCCATCCGCCTGGAATACCTCTAGAGGCACTCGCCAAAGGATCTTGCCGTCCCCAAACTCAGTGACACTGTAAAGGTCATCTGCGACCAACAGCATACACACTCAAAAAAAAAATATTTGGAGTGTTTGCTAATCTCATCACTGTTTTATATATTATGTAAAAAGTGTGAGAAAGAAGCATATAGCCCACCTGATTGTAAATATATAAAAGCCTATAAAAACTTATAATACCAGAGTATCACTTGCCACAATAATTTTTAAATAAACTGATAGAGATAATTTATCAAGTTTACTTTCAATTTCAAATGAAAATGTGAATGCATATTAATTTTTATATCATAAGTATACTATCCTACAATCTGACTAATATTAATGCTGAAGAGAATTTACATTATTCATATCAAGTCTAGCTTGGGAAAATTGGAAAAACTGGCAGCATTAGATGACATCAAAAAGGCGACAGAGCCCAACTGCCACTAATGCAATCAATAAATCACAATTGAAAACAGCAGAAAAAAAATATATAAAACAACTTACCCAGTTATCTCCATTATCATAGCCTGTACATACCATGAACTTATCATTATACAGAAATAACTTAAGTCCTCAAAAAAGGACCCCATATTTTATCAAGGATATTTGTTTTGCTATAAGCATAACATCCCTAGACTTAAACAAAACAGTACAAACTTGAAAAATAATAGACAGCTTGATTTTATTATATAAAAATGATTATTGTATTACGGTGGACATGTCATGGTTACTTGTCTGATATTATATACAAAATTACAATTTATTAAATATCATGAATCAAGTGCCAAAAATGGGTCACTTAATTTACTATACATCGTTATGGCAATCGAATAATTCGCTCCGGTCTTGGCCGACGATCAATAGTGGCGGCAATTTGCAGATTTATAGTTATCAAGGTCAATTTTTACTGATCTCTGAAACTGAACACTTACCAGTAAAACAGCAATTCGTAAACAGGTTACTCTGAAGACATTAAGTTATACAATGAGTTTAATCGCTGAGTGCACTTTAGGCTGACTATTGGCATCATTTTAATTAAACATTTGAATATTTGCCATTTCCTTCCCTATCTGTACCTTTTATAGGTTTAAAATTTAAATTTGACTTGACTTGACATAATAACAATGCAGCACGACTGCGACTGCGGCGATGAGCGATATCATTGAATGACATTGACATAACAAGGGAAGGGATGTGAAAAAGTTATCGATTTAAAGAAAGTTTTTACTATCGCTTTTATACATAATTCTTATTTTATTATATTACTTTAAGAAATTAAATCATTTGTTGTCAAAAATTTACGAAAGACTTTTTACTATGGTGTGACTGAGTGCGACAAGGATCTTTAGGAATGTGAGTCCAGGGAGGGCCGAAGGGTGCTGCTGAATCCTATTGTTTTGTTTGTTTCAAGTACCTGAACATCTCCCGCTTTTCAGGAATTTGTTTTGATTTATATTTTATTTATTTCGAACAATTTTAGTTAGGTTTTATGAAACTGATTTTCTATAAAATTTAGGATCATTTATTTGTCAAATAAAAAAAATCCTACTGTTATTTATATATTATTTACTATAAAGTTGTCTTATAAATAAAATGACTATATTGTGTACATGGTTGAAGCTATTGTAATACTACTAATGTTAATAACTTATAATAAGTACTACTAGGACCAAAACTTTTATGAAGAGAAATCAATTTAAGCATACTTTCTTTATTAAGAGAAATAAGTTACTATTATATATTATACAGAACATATTTATTTAACCCCAAGTTCCGTTAACTACAAAAACGTCAGAGCGGCGCGTTGTGTCACACTATGTTTAATGTGCTAGTTTCTTAACAAAATAAACTAAAAACGAATACACAGTACTGGCCCGAATTGACAAGTCAGCATCTGGCAAGCCTAAACACAAGACAACATTCACATTGTTTAAATGAACACATTATGTCGTGGCAGTAAGGTTCACTGTCAATTGTTTACAAGAGAGTTTGTTAACGATGTGAGAGAGGAATGCACGATCATATGACACACGGGGCGCAAATGGCGAGAAATATTTTGTTATAGCTATTAAAATAGAAAACATCAATTTGGTTCCACAATTTTCTTAGTTTAAAGTGGCACTTATCTGAAATACGACATTAATGTTTTTAAGAAAGGATCTGGTGTTTCTGCACAGCTTTTCAACAAACACTTTGACATTGCATGGCGTTGTAATGAAAGCGCGATTGAAACTCATCTGTTTGAAAACACAATAGACGCGTGTACATTATTTAGCTTCCAACACTTTTGAGCGCGTTTGTGGGTCTACTTGTTTCTATACGTCAATGGCAGAAAAGGAAAGTTAACATAATATTAGGGTAAATCGAAATTTAGAATTTCTTGTACTAAGTGACTTTTTTATATTATTTTTATGTTAAATTATTGTTATGTTTATTATCGAAATTTTTTTTCACTGTCACATACCTAGTTGGAAACTTTTTTTGTAATATTATAGGCATGCGTCCGATATATCAAAACGAATCCAAAATCCGATTTCAAACACAAATCGATACCGAACGATTTCTCAACAAGAAAATCCGATTTCAGAAATCTAACCGAACCAAAACGCTAGCGATCTAATACCACCACAAGTATCCAAATGTAAATCGGATTCGAAATTCGTGCTTTCGTTTTCGGAAGTCCGATTTCGTGCTCGGATGTCCGATTTCGGTTTGCTGTTTACGGAAATCTATTGTTCTTCTCTAAGGCGGAATTATTTATTACTGAAAAAGATGTCGTCTAAAAACATCAAAAGTCGAGCAACTGACATTTTTTTGAACGCTAACCTGAAGTAATTAGGTTTGATTTTGTAAATGGTTTGAAAAATAATAAAAACAAACAGAAAAACAAACAAAATACTAAAAAAATATGTAAAAAAAAATCATTGTATATAAGCCGATTTTTAAATGCGCCGCAAAAGTTTTACATTTAACCGTAAAGATAACTTTTCTGCTAGTCCTAAGCCACAGAATATATACTCTTGCCTAAGCCTAGATTTAAAGCATAAAGGAAAATCGCGCAAATCTACGAGTATCCTTGCTACGTACAATTAATTGTTTGTGATTGTCGTTAGCTAATAAAACCAAATCATAACACAAACTAGTGAATTGGCTAAGTTCGGCACATCTGAAATCGGATATCTAAAAACGGATTTTAAAATCGATTTTGAAATCTGAAATCCGATAAATATCCGTTTGCGTTCAAAACCAAAAACGCCCATGTCTATAATATTATTCCTTTAGGGCAAGGCAAAGAATATTAAGTTCATACAGTCTCGGTTTCAGTATTTTTGTTTACCTACGCCTAGCATTAATTAATGTCCCCACTACAAAGGCACAGACACGGTTAGCAGTCTTCAGCCACGTCAAAGATGTCAGCCAGCATTTTACCCCTTTGGTTTTGCCGCCCATAACTAAAGCCCACTGTTATTTCGGTACCGTCTCACTTGCCTAGCTTCGCGTTGAAATCCCAAAACCCAACAAAACTGTAAACTGTAAACAAGACAGGTCGAGGTATGTTAGGCTCATACATAGACTACCACCTCTCGTCTAATTCAGATAATATACTTAAATATTCCCATTATACAAGCTGAAGTGTACTGTACCTGTGGCACATTAAATTCAAATCACATTCTAATACATCAAACCTGCACACCTGGGTGGGTGATGGATGCCGAACGGTTAGGTAGAAACCGAAATAAACCATTTTTTTCGATTTAAAACGGTTGGTGTTGATGTCTATGTTTTACTTAATTATAACTACATTGTCTTGATATAACAGAGTACCTATAAACTGTATATAAAGATTTTTTAAATGTGTGATATACTTACTGATATTGATATACTTAGCGAGTTTAGTTCTAGATGGTCCATCCGCGACCAAGCATAGGTATTACCTACCTAAGTTATAAAAACTCTTATCATAAGTAACAAACTGTGTTAGTAAATAAAAAAAAATGTTTTCAAACGATATAAATCAATTCTATCAATTTGATTCGGTTTAAAACCAAACTCACACTCTCGCACTCTCGTTGATGTCACTCGTCGTTACTCGACGCAAACGTGTCCAGCTCGCCTACCCTATACACACATGCACATACATAAACTGCCGGCCGCCCGCGCCGCGCACGCACGCTTCTCAGGCGCGAATACAACAGGGGGTAGGTTGAGGCATGGATGGAGTCTGCTGACAATAACTACATCCTGTACAGTCAAATCACAAGCCCATTTTAACAGTTAACATCTCTATGTATCTTGTTGTATTTGTCAAAATGTGCTTTTAAAAGTGATCCCCTGATTGTAGGTACGTTCGCATGTAGTTTTTGTATCTTTATCATAGGGGTTTGTTATTTATGATGACTGTAAATAAAGAACCAGTACAAAATTAAAAAAAAAACATAACGAAGTGTAAAAAACATAGCTCTTTTATTTTTGTATGCCAGTTTTCAACCGTTTAAAACGATTTATTTGGGGTTTAAAACGGCAACATTTGGTTACAAAACGTTTTAAATCGGTTGTTTTACATCTATGCGCCCCTAATTGTTGCCGCTCTGGACAAGTGTCTAGCTCGTCCTCCTTTGGATCAGGCCCTGCTTGCCATTGTCTTGTTAGTTGTGTTTTCAATTTGTTGTGTGCCTACTATATACAATTCCATGGTATTCATTTAAAGTACAAAGCCGTCTCTTACACGCTTTGTTCAGTGAGTATGCCTGACGAAGGCACTCCGTAGCGTACCTACCTCATCATCACCTCATTGCGCGAAAACCTTCGATCAACATTGATAATAAACAGGACAAGCTATAAGTATGTTTAATGAGGATCCGTAACGATTTTAGTTGAGAATGCAGATTTATAGAGCTTAAGATTTCATAAAATACAGTGGTTAAATTTTTGTTCTACGACAAATATTGACGAAGTTATGACCAAATTACTAAACGAATTTTCGGCTGGCCCGTGGTGGCTGTGACGTCAGAGAGCTCTAGCGCTCGGGAGCGAGCGTACGTAAAGACGCTACTGCAGTTCGACCGGAGTGAACACTGATCGATCTTTGTGACGTCACACGTTTCGCCCGCCGATGAATATTTGATACCATAACTTTGAATCGATTTCGATAAATTAAAAAAAAATACGTGTGGCACTCGAGGACTGCCGCGGTAAAGCTATTGCATTGTATTTTTTATCAACTTATGCAATTATAATTATTTATTTACTAGCGGCCGCCCGCGACTTCGTACGCGTGGAGTTAGTTATATAAATGTAAAACGATAAAAATAAATAAGTAAAAAACAAACTAAAATATTTAATTAATTTATAACACCTCTCATAGATGGCGTCGGTGCACTGTGAATTGCTATATGATTTTATTTCAGATAATATTAGTTAATAGGATAAAATTAGTTAATAACGCCAGTCATAGATGGCGCTAAGTTATTGTGAATTGCGGTATAGTTTTATTTCGGTTAAAGGTCTTTTTTCACTGGTTGCCATATTAAAATTGTATGGATAATTGGATATACTTCAGCCTTTCAATAGAACACCTCACCACAACCAAAAGTTTATTCAGGGATTTCAGGGGTGTAAGGTTTTTTTAGTTACGGAATTTCTTGATTCGGTCGCCGCGCCTAAAGCCCGCGATAAAATCTATGCATTAGCTATGTTATGTTATGTTAATAAAAACCTTATTACATTATTATACCCCCTCAGCTGTGTATTGATATATTTGTTTTGATAGATACAGAGTCTGATAATCAAATGCAGACATAGGTTGTTGAAACAATAAATATTTTTAAAAACGTTTGCATTCAGTTTTTAACCGACTGTCTCCCGCTAGCAACCGAATCGTACTGAACCCACGTTTTAGAGCACTGCGGGCGTGACCCGTACGGCTCTTTCGCGTACGGACAGCCCGTACGGGTCTCCCGGATATCTGCTAAAGCAGCCTAAATTAAACTGGAATTATGAAATTTCG